CCAAAGCTGATGCTTCAATAAAGCAGGAATAGCTTGAGAAGTCCCATTCAATGAAAGAACAGGAGAGCTCTTAACCCATTGAAGCCTGCCTGCTGGATGACTCCCCTGAGCAAAGGCTGGGGTTAATATACCCCTAGCTGTGCCCACCTCCCTTCCCATGAGGCCCCAGGGAAAGGGAGGAACCCAATCCCACAAGGTATAAAAGCTCTGAGAGCAGCAGTATATGGTTTTTATCTGTGATTTAAAATTGGGATGGGTAAAGAGCCTGATAGAGAAAAGGACTCTTAATGCAAACAGGTATGATCCTTAGCATTGGGTTTAGTATTCGAATTTGTATTTGGGATTATAATTTGTAAGAAAATGAGGGCCGTTCCCCCCTGGAAAGAAAGCCTATAGCTTTTGGGTGTCAGGTGTGGGTGGGAAAACTTTCTATATGTATGGAAAGGGTTTTGTTAGCTTACCGGAGCCCTGCACTGAAACCGTACCTGACTCACAAAGGCTAGAGCCTTTCTTTCCTGGGGGAAAGGGTGTCGGTTGCTTTGGGAGCCCAGCAACGAAACAGCAGGTCTAACTCCCTAAATTAACATGGATGAAGTCCTCTCCCCGCACAGCTCCTCCACTCGCAGAAGGCAGGAATCCCCGGTGCAAAAGGTCCCCCACGGTGCCCGGGGGTGTGTCCGGAGCCCCTCAGAGCCCCCCTCCCGGCCCAGGACACACGGGCTGTGTTCCTGCCCTTCCTGGCAGGCGCGCCTCCCTACCTGGAGAAGCCTCGCCCGGCGCCGAGTGATGGCTGCGCGGCTGAAGCGCTGCGGGGGGGTGGCGCCGGGGGCTGGAGCGGCGGGGGCTGGAACGGAATGGAGAGGGCTGGAGAAGCGCGGCGGGGGCGCGGGCTGGAGAAGCGCGGCGGGGGCTGGGGGCGCGGGCTGGAGAAGCGCGGCGGGGGCTGGAGAAACGCGGCGGGGAGTGGAGCGGCGGGGGCTAGAGAAACGCGGCGGGGAGTGGGGCAGCGCGGCGTGACTGCGTCCTACCTGCAGGAGCTGCAGGGCAAGGGTGAGCCTGGCGGTACCGGAACGAGGTGCGGGGGGGCCCGGAGGGAGCCCCGGGGATGCCGCGACCCTGCCGCGGTGCTGGGCTGAGCCCCCGGGGCTCCCGGGGTGCTTCGCGACCGGGGATATAGAGTGAGGTAGTAACGAGAATCAGGAAGTGCTTCCACGGACCCGCGCCCAGTTCGGTGGCTGTGCCGAGGTTTGAACAGGGAAAGAACCGCTGTCCTGCAGTGAGGACCAGGGAAATGGCCTTACCATGAGACTGGGGAGATTCAGATTAGAGATTAGGAAAAAATTGGGTGGTCACGCATTGGAATAGGTAGCCCAGGGAGGTGGTGGAGTCACCGTTGCTGCAGGTGTTCAAGAGGAGTCTGGATCTGGCGTTGGGCGACAGTTTAGGGGTTACAGTGGCAGTGTTTAGTAATAGTTAGACTGTGATGCCAAAAAACCCGGTCTGAAAGACTACTCAGACACTTTTGTATCTTTAAACAACAAGGTATTTCTTTATTCGATGTTGGGAACAAGGGCTGAACCTCAGGCTATCAGGTGCAGTTTGTGGGCTAGCCTGACAGTCCATGGGCAGCAAGAGCTCTGTACTGGCACCTTTTATCTAGAAGGCATCTTTATCCATATTCAATTTTGGGACCTGGACTGGCAATTTCAGCTCAGAGCTCCAAAAAACAAACGACAGCATTTTCTCCCAGATAAGAAAGTGTTTATCTTTTGCTTGTTAGGTGCAATTGTTGGGCCAGCCTGGGCACTCCACAGGCTGTAAGAGCTTTCTGTGGTGGCATCATTGATCTGGGAGGAATCTTCATCCATATTCAATTTTGGCAGCTGGACTTCCAATTTCGGCTCTAGGATTCCTGCAAGGTAACCTCAGCCCTTTTTCCCCAGAAAGAAAACTCTGACCTTCATGGTTTCAGGTGCAGTTGGTGGGCCAGCTAGGGCACTCCATAGGCAGCAAGAGCTCTCTGTCCTGGCATCTTTTGTCTGGGAGGAATCTTCGTACTCAATTTTGGGAATCGCACTGGCAGTTGCAGCGAAGGGTTGAAAGATGTGAACAACAGCCCTTATCCCCAGGAGAGAAAGCCTGGAACTTTTGGCTATTAGATGCAGTTGATAGGCCAGCCTGGGCACTCCATAGGCAGCAAGAGCTCTCTGTCCTGGCACCTTTTGTCTGGGAAGAATCCTTGTTCATATTCAATTTTGGGAGCGAGACTGGCAGTTGCAGCACAGCATTCCTGAAAATCAACAACACCCCTTTTCCACAGGAAAAGAAGCACTTACTGTTGCAGGATTCAAATTGTGAACAATTTCCATTGCATTTCTGTAGGCCTTGCTTGACATGACTAGAAGCTGTAAGCTGTAATGTTTATGCTTATAGACTGTGTGAAAATATGCAATGTTTATACTTGTTACCTGTGTGTCTAATTATAAGGTTTGAGAACATAGTATGTTTAGAGCAAGAAAGCCTTGAGAAAGTATAGATAGGAGTGCACCTGCAGATTTCAGAAAGTTCCTAATTATGAAGGCCTCTACATGCCAAGTATGACTTCAGATCGCACGGACAGAACATCAGGTCCAATGAACTGGAGACATGAGGCACGTGTACAGACTGAGCTATCCAATCACCTTGTTGTAAGCATGTGCCCAAAACAAACTAAACTGTATAAAAGTTGACTTAATTAAATAATAAATTGAACATATGGCTGACCACATTGGCCTGTATGCCTTATGTTTATGCCCCTCCATCAATAACTTACTCTTTTTATTTCAGGTGCAGTTGGTGGGCCAGCCCTGGCAGTCCTTAAGCAGCAAGAGCTTTCTGGTGTGGTACCTTTGGTCTGGGAGGAATCCTCGCCTGTATTCAATTTTGGGACTCGGACTTCCAATTTCGGCTCCAGGATTCCTGCAAGGTAACGTCAGCCTGTTCTCTCAAGAAACAAAGTGCTTACCTTTATGGTTTCAGGTGCAGGTGGGACGGGGGTCATTGGGGAGGGACTGGGGTCATTGGGGAGGGACTGGGGACCGTGGCACTGGGGGCACTGGGATAAGAGTGAGATGTGCTGGGGAGGGACTGAGGGCACTGGAGAGGGGCTGGGGGCACTTGGGGGAACTGGGCTGGGCCTGGGATTCTCTGGGGAGGGACTGGAGGCACTGAGATAGGACTGAGAGGCACTGGGGAGGCACTAGGACACACTGGGGCACCACTGGGATGGGACTGAGGTCA